GGCCAATCTTCTCCTTGGACTCCATTGGAGCCATGGCTAATTCCTCCACCTCTGAGCTTCCGTCCGACGTTCTTGATTCCACTGGATGTTCGACATCTAGCTTAAGCCCTTCACAAACCGAATGACCTGAACTACACATTAATTTGTTGATTACCACTCTTAAACTCAACGGTTCTAATTTTCTCCAGTGGTCTCACGTTGTTTTGTTGTTCGTCAAAGACCGGGGTAAATTCGGCCTCCTCATGGGTACGATTCAAGAACCCCCGAAGACATACCCAACATATGTTGTGTGGCAAGTTGAGAACTCCGTGATTATCTCTCGGCTAATTAATACCATTAAGAACTTTATTAGCCGTTTTTCCCTGTTTCTTACGTCTGCAAGTGCCCTATGGACTGTCATTCACAATAACCTAGTCAAATTTGGGTAATTATGGACAACTCTATGAAGTTTCTAAATAGGATCTGCGATGCTATGCAGGGATCGAGGACAGTCACCCAATAATATAACAATTTGGTTGCTTTATGGATGGAATGTGATCTCAACTATGACTACGTTTGGGGCTCTCCCGTAGATCTTTCCTTCTTCCATAAGATTTTAGAAAAGGATAATGTGTTTCAATTTCTAGCTTGCTTGAACAAGGATCTTGATGAAGTTTGTGTTTGTATACTTGTTCGTGACCCTCTTCCTTCAACCTGGGAAGCATTCACTGAGATCCGTCGCAAAGGAAGTCAAAAACTTGTCATGCTTGGCAACTCAACTACTTTAGCCGAGCCGTCAACCTTATTGTCCGACAGTACTCCATACTTTATCACGTCATTTCAAGTAAATTAGTCCTATTTGATTTTTGCCACAAATCCTACCATACCCATGGCAAGTGTTGGAAGCTCCATGAGAAACCGACAAATAAGTCTTCGACCAAATTCTTTGCTACTAAAGGTCTCGCTACAACCTCGGAATCCACAACAGTTCAGCCGGTTCCTACTCGGACCATTCCCAACTTGTTGGACTCTATTAAGAGTTAGGTGAAACATTTGATTTAGCTTCTCGGTTCTAGTTAATTGTCGGCCCGTCAACCTCCTATGTCCGTCAAGGTATTGTCTCGATAGCTCTCGTTGGTTTTGATTCTTCGGTCCGTGGATTATTGATTCAAGTGCCACCGACCACATGAGCAGGAGATATGATTAAAATTGTCGACGACTCCTTTATTTGCCTTGTGGGTAAAAGGTAGGTTTTACGAGCAGTTGGGCTTACTTTGGAATCCGTGTTACTTGTTATTTTGCTTAAATGTAACCTCTTTTTAGTCAGTAAGTTAACATGTGATAATCTTGATTGCATAGCTCATTTTTCTCCTGATTTTTTGTCTTTCAAAATTGTCATTTGGGGACGATGTTTGGAATTGCTAAGAGGATAGCCAGATTCTTATTTTTTCTCAAGAAAATGACATTGATAATGTTAGCACTCAATCTCGTAGTTGTAGTTTTTCGCTTTCTACAACACGTTCAATTATGATTTTACATTATCTTTTGGGTCATCCCAGCTTTCATTGTTTTAAAAAATTATTCTCTTTAATGTTTATTGATAAAAAATTATCTTTTAAATGTGAAATTTATCAATTAGCTAAACTTCGTGTACCATATACTCCTCATTCTCACACTCCTTCCTCCCCTTTTTCACTTATAGTGATTTATGGGGCTCTCTCAAACTTCAAGCTATACCAGTAAACAGTGGTTCCTTACTTTAATTGATGACTACATTCAGATGACTTGGGTTTAGGTATTAAAAGATAATCTGAAGCTGCCGTCACATTTATAATTTTCCACTCCTTCATTTTAACCTAATTAAAAAGCACTATTCAAGTCCTTTGGACCAACAATGGTCGTGAGTGCTTTAATTCTATATTTGGAGAATTCTTGGTTAGTAAGGATATCCTCCATCATTATTCCTATACGGATGCCCCTCAACAAAATGAGGTAGCCGAGCAGAAAAATAGACACCTTCTTGAGGTCGCTCGTTTCATTTCATTTCAAGCTAATGTTTCCAAGCTTTTTTGGGACGACGCCATCCTCACCACTACCTAACTATTCAAAAGAGTTCCCGGAAAAATCCACAACTTTCATATCCCATTATCCGTCTTAATGTCATGCTTTCCTTCCAAACGGTTTTTCTCATTAGATCTCAAAATCTTTGGGTGGTGCACGACCTTTGTTCGAAACACAGCCCCGACATAAAGTAAACTTGATCCCTGCTCGATTAAATAATCTTTCTCGGCTATTCCACCACTCAAAAAGGTTATGGATGTTTTGATCCTATACCAATAAAACCTATGTTAGTGTCGACACCTTTTTTTTTTTTTCCCCTCATTTCCTAATGTTGCCTCAAGTGAGGGGGAGCTTTATTTTTTGGGCAATGTTCATTTTTTGACTCTGATGGACATTTCTCTTTTGTCCACTGTTCCTGATGCACCTTCGGCGCTACTGGATTTGCCACCAGTCAAGCCAACCCCACCACCCCAACCTTTCCGTGCCTATTTTCGCTGTACAAAATCATCGGTTGAGACTTATCCCAATGCCCTTACCATCGAGCTCGCTTCACTGCTGAAGCTCTTGACTGACAAACCCAGTATGATGCTCTTTCCATCTACAGAAGTCATTGCTGATCCGAGTGAAGATTTGCAACCTCTAATTGAGTTACACAAACAAGATCGATCATGCATTCTTCACCTTCTTTATTCCATGGCAAAATATGTCTCGTTCTATAGCCTATCTCCGTCCGAAAAAGCGATTGTCACATCCTCGACGGATCGTTGTCTCTCATCCACTATTGAGGAGGTTTTGTCTAACCTATCCTGGAAGACTGTTGTCATGGATGAGATGAATACCTGCAACCATACTTGAGACGTGATTGATCTCCCCCAGGAAAGAAAGCAGCAGGTTGTTGGTTGATTTTAGGATTTTTAGCACCAAATTTTAACTTCGATGTCTCCTTTGAGCGCAACAAGACGAGAGGGGGGGGGTCGCTAGTCACGAACTTATGGGACTGACAATGAAGATACGTTTGCTTTGGTTGCTAAACTAAATATCGATCTAGTCCTTTTATTCCTAGTCATGAATCTAGATTGACCCTTCAGCTCGACGTCAAAAAATGCTTTTCTTAACGAAGATATCGCTGAGGAGGTTTATCTCTCTCCCACCGGGATTTGACTCAACTTTTTTCTGTAGATAAGTGTATCAATTATGAAATTCCTTATATGGACTGAAATAATTCCCACGGGTCTGGTTCGGTAAGTTTAAGCAAGTTGTAGTGGATCATGATTTCTCTCAGATCCAATCTGATCGTACATTGTTTTTTCACATTTGTCTGGTGACCGTATTGCCATCCTCATCGTCTATGTCGACGACATTGTGCTCAAGGGTAATCATCTGCCTGCCTTGAAGTTTCTCAAGGCCATTCTCGCCACGTCATTTGAGATGAAAAACTTGGGTTCTCTCTGTTATTTCTTAGGCATGGAAGTAGCTTGATCCTCTCGGGGGGCATTTGTCGTTCCCAGCACAAATATGTGTTGGATTTATTAATCGAGACTAATCTACTTCTTTGCAAACTGGGTGTCGTCCCGATGGACCCTAATAAGAAATTGCTTGAAGCTCCCAATGTCGTTCCTGTGAACAAAGCACGCTACCAACGCTTTGTGGGTAAGCTCATTTACCTTCCCCATATGCACCCGGACATTTTTCACACCGTTAGTGTCGTAAATCAGTTTATGCATGACTCCTATGAGCATCATTTCATCGTTGTTCATTGGAGGATCCACTACCTGAAAGGCATACCGAGCTTGAGTTTGTTTTTCACTCATCGCACTTCTCACTTCGTTGTGGTTTATACGAATATTGATTTGGTTGGGTCCATCCATGATCGACAATCTACTTCGGGTTATTGATCCTTCATATGAGAGAACATTTTTAGTTGGAAAAGTAAAAAAACAATCCTTTGTTACCTGTAGTAGTTCTGAAGCTGAGTTTCGCTCTATGTTTTTGGGTGTGTGAAGCCCTCTGGTTGCACATTATGTTTCACGAGTTACAGACGCCGGTCACCATTCATCTGCAGTTTTTTTTGTGACAATAAAACCACCATTAGCATTACTCGTAATCCGGTCCAAGTTGATCGTACCAAATGTGTGGAGATTGATTGTCACTTTATCAAGGAGAAAATTGATTTTGGGCAGATTTGCATTCCATTTGTCTCATCTGCTGTTAATTAACTGATATTCTCACAGAGAATCTTCTTCACTCGTTTGATGATTTCAAGTCTAAGTTGAACATGATTGACGTCTATGCTTCAACTTGAGGGAGAGTATTAGAAGTTATATTAAGATTTTATTTATTTTCTGTTATTTCTTATTTATTTCCTTTTATTTCTTATTTATGTATTTTCTTTTATTTTCGGCTAATCATAGGAGTTAGTGTTTTACTTTATTTGATTTGATTCTGGTAATTTTGGGGATATGGGTGTTATTTCCTTTCTAAGTTAGGATTCTAGTAACTTGTATTTAAGCCAATATTTCGTATCAATAAAAATATTATGTGCAGTTCTCCAAACCTGCAGATGGTATTTTGAATTGAAGGATATATTAGATGTAATATCGTTGAATTGATAGAGTATTAAGATTGGTGATGTACTCTCTGGTTGGAAGTTAATGTGGTGCATCGTAAACAAATGACCACTTGCTAAAAGCGTTCATTTGCCCACCACTCTGACAATGTGGTGCATCGTAAACAAATGACCACTTGCTAAATTTGCCCACCACTCTGACCTCTACTAAGCAAGAAAATTAGGTATCAAGATCTCCAAATAGTTATTGCATTCTCATAGGTGTGAACATGAGAGGAAATTTTCTGAATTAAGTTCTCAACACAAGATCTTATCTAGTTCTATTAATTGGTTGTTTAGTTCCTACTTCCATTTCATGTCTCGATCCTTCAAACTTAATGACAAAAATATGCAGGGAATGGAGTGCAAGCCCAACACACACAGACCGAGCTTCCATGTAAATATGGTGGGTTTGGATCGGTCCGCCCAAAGATCCAATTCCTCTCGGTATCCTTGGGGTCTCGATGCCGAGATGGTACCCGAAGATGACGAGTTTGAACTCTGGCTGCAGCAGGCATTAGCATCCGGACTCTTCTCCGACAGTCCGAAGCGCAGAAAAAGCTGGAGCCCTTTCAAAATGCCTCAGAAAGGCATCAAACCATGGAGAAAGTCGCCGTAGGTGTAACTGACATCAACCAAACCGGAGCGACGCCTGCCATCAAAATTTCTACAAGAGATGACAGACAACCTGATATTAGTTTCAAACACACATTACCTGCTGCCAATAAAGTTCAATTTACAATGGTTCAAATGTTGGAAATGGGCATATTTTTTTCAGAAAAGAAAGAAAAATGCATTATTTTCTGAAGTTGAAGACGACAGCATTGACCGGTGATTGCGAGGTAAATGCCCATCAACCTCTCGACAGAAAAAAAAATGGTTAAGTCTGGAAAAGTAGTGCAATTACATTGTACATAGAGGAAGGGATTCCCTGCTTTAGGACTGAACTGCTGCTTCTTGTAGTAATATTGCCCACTAAATTTGGGAGAACTCAAGGTTTAATCAGCTGTCCTCAACAAAAACTCATATAATTGCTGTAAATGATTTGTTTTCTGTTCTCATTTGCTGGATTGTCTTCTTTTCTTTACAAGCAATTTTTTTTTGTTACTTGTATATGAGAAATCTGAGGATTCATCTATAAGATCTGTTGCTCTTTTCATCAATTATATCTCAATGTGTGCTAGACAGCAACGTTCAAGTGGAGCTACCCATGATGCTCGGCGCTGCCTATGTGAAATGACGAAGTGGTCAAAGGTTATGTGACCCTATGGTTATGGAAGGTTTTCATGAGTTTAAGTCTTATATTTTGTGACTTAGTTTATTAGGGGGTCTTATTTTGTAAAACATAAAGTGAGAGGGGTAAGTTGTAATAATTAGTGATGAATTTTTATAAATATTATATACTTTTTATTTAAAGCTCAAATGTATTATGAGACTTAAAGGGAGCTATTGCACAAGTTTTTTTTTAAAATTGTAAATCCGCTAATGGATAAACCAGTATATGCCACCTTTAAGCTTGATTTTGATGTCAGCATTTAACCATGGCCAAACCCACCCCTATCTTGGCTGAATTTGGCTCGATTCATAAATTGGTTTATCTTGCCGAAATACTCAAGTTCAATGAAAGGTTGGCCGTTTAAATATGTAATATAAAAATATGTAATATAATTGTTGAATTTTAATTTTGTCTGTGAATCATACTCAATTAATCAATGAAAGGTTGGCCGTTTAAATATGTAATATAATTGTTGAATTTTAATTTTATCTGTGAATCATACTCAATTATTAAAATAGAAATAAGTAGAGATAGAGAGGCAGAAAGATGCGTGAACAATAATAAATGTTAATCCGCCACGTCTTATTCATAAAATGATTCTCTTTTTTATAGAAAAAAATGTATAATATTGAGCTAGTATATTTTTGCCCGTGCTTCTAAGGGGTCTACTTAGTTGGCTAAGTTTAATTGGCTTATTTACTTCTTGCTGGCTTGATCGGCTAAGTTTAATTAGTTTTAGGACGACAAGATCAGTTCAATCGCCTGAGATTCACCCAGTCGGCTGAGCTTTGGTCGATATGGATCAGCTTGATCGTCTAAGCTTGGTCGGTATGGATCGATCTCTGATGATGAGCCTCTGAGCGTCTCTGGGATGGCTGGAGATATTAGGGAACTAATTTTTCCCTTGGACCAGCTCTCTTGTGATAGTTAGCCCGGATACCCTTTTGCCTCGTTTTAGACTGAGTGGCGCGCTTTTTTATCCTCAAGTCGTCTTTGATCTGTCTCGTGGTTCATTCAGTTTTGGCATCGTTGGCATAGCTTGGACAGCTTTACTTGGTCAAACAAGTTGACCTCATGATCATGTCAGTGGGCTCTCCATTTTCATTATGGGCCATTAGATCTCCTTGGGTTAAGTGCTGACACATTTTTTATGTACATATTTTAGTTCATTGATCATTCTGTTTCTTGAAAGAAACACTACAATAATAATAAGAGAATTAAATGTAAATGTATAATTCATTTATTGTTTAATTATTGGCTTAATAATTGAATTATCTTTATTTTGACGACTTTGATTCTTCTAAATAAGACACAATAGGACTTTTTCCCATTCTTTTTTTTCTCTGAGACACGTCTCGTTTGAATCAGTTGGCTTTCCGGTATTGTGGTGGAGAACATATCAAACCTCTCAGGTGACACTCCCAACAAAGATATAAACCGTGTTCCCTTTGAAAAACTAAAAGATCAAGACTTCCTGCGAAGTGAAAGAAAGAAGAAAGTCGTTGTTAAGAAGAGGAAAATGGTGAAACTGCACTAGTTGGTCAGGTGGTGTTGTTTGTTTCACTCCTCGATCCTAAATAAAGGAACATTCAACCAGCCGACCAGATTGTCGATTCGACTGCCCAACCTTCTTTTGTGGCGCAAGAGTAGTCGATCACCCAAGTTGCGCAAGGGGATATTATTGCCCTACAGTCTCACAATGAGCGAGATGTCAATTACAGTGTATGAGCTGGATCAACTCAAGGGTATGATGAGGAGCATAAATCTTATTTGTTGGACTTCAATTTTTTTTTCATTAGTTCCTTTCCTTTATGTTGTCTCGTGGTGTAGATGACTTGGTTTTGAGAGTCCTGAGCAAGGATCTAGTTTTGGGTGGCATTGGCGAGAATCAGTTTGAAGTGTAGTGGCAACAGAACAAGCGCCAGCCAAAGGCAGGCGACCATTGAGTGAGGATAGTAGGGTTGACTGCCTAGATGATCCTTCTGAGACCCACAAATAAGCTGGTAATGGGTGTTGGAGATCTCCCTGACTGTTGGCTCACCGCTTGGCGAGATTGAGAACTTGTTTGCTTAGTCAGCAAGGATCCAACAAGGTGATGAGAGGCGTGAGTTGTTTGTTCGTCGGAAGAAAGTGAAGATTATGGAGGAGGTGTGGATACCCATCACCAGGAATAGTAGAATGTCTAGGAGAGATACTTGATACTCCATGCTCTACTCGATATGGATCGACTAAATTATTTTAGGTGGGGTGGGGTTGTGGAATTTGTATAAGAGGTTGCTTTAGTTGGGGCATTCCTTGGTTGAAACGGTGAACGATCCTCTTGTAAAATATTTTATCCAGGGCTAGTTTCTGAGTGGTTTTTGTAATTTTAAGGTCTTTTCTAGAATAAATTTTATTTTACTTTTTCATTTTCCGCATTGATGTGATCCTTTTATTAGTGTATTTTTTAAATTACTGTAGAATTCTATTTTTACCCCTGCACAATAGTTCAGCTTCCCCCATTGTCTTATATATATAAAGGGTGTGGGGTTGGAGACATTACGCTTACTTTGCCTTTTCTCTTCTCACTTCTAATTGTTTTCTCAGCTTTCTTTTTTGGTGCTCTTGGTCGATGGCTCCTCGGTGCTCTTATAATGACTTTGGATCTGTCGTATTGAATGATTGATCATGGATGACTCTAAGGGAGGTCAACAGACTGCAGGAGACATGTGTCTTCAATCTCACCATCAAGTTTTGAGTCTCTAGCGAGAACGACTGAGCGATCACTTAGTATGATGCCAACCTTGTCTTCTATAATGACATGTTTCATTTCGACCCGAGACTGCCTTTTTGTTAGGAGTTACGGGCCATCTTTACCCATTATGATTTCATACATGTCTTACTAATGGCTAACTCCATAGCAGCTATCGTGACCTTTGTTGTCTTCTATCGCTAGTTGGGGATTCCATGGCTGATCGAGCTTTTAGCTACTTTTTCTTTCAGGTCAGCATGAATGGATTTGTTTAGTTTCTCTCGGTCAGTAAATTCCAATTGTTGGGGCTGAAAATTAGGGTGAAGCACTGGAAGCCCCATTTCTGCATGGGATCTTCCCCTTGGGAGTGGTACATTAGGTTGTCCTATCTAGCAGTGCTCCGGTAAAGGCCATGAAGAAAGTGCTTGGCGTTAGCGGTCGGTATATCAATAAGTTGATCTAGCCTGTCAACTAGGTACTTAAACTAGAAGCTTTAAATCAAATAACAGAGGAGGACTAGAAATCCTGCGATGCTCAGGAGGTTGGGAGAGGTTTAGTAGTTGTTGCTCAAGCGGAATGAAAGAAAGCCCACACGGTCGCTCATTCTGAAATGGCTTCCCCTAAAATGGGCCGACCTAAAACTGCTCAAGTAGCGGGTCGACTGAAACCCAGGGTGGTTTTTGTTGGAGAAGAATTGAAAGGTGTGCATCTTATTTATTTTGTTTTTGAATCATCTGTTGTTTTTCAAATAATTTTCATTGAAAAGCTAATCCTGATTGAGAGAATAACATTTTTTGCACTCGCTAAAAGTTCTTGTCGGTTGTAGGCCATCGAGCATGCACACCAAGAGACTAAGAGGACGACCAACCAAGTAGATTCAGGCCTTCACAATGGGGAGGTTTCATTAGAAAGATAAGAAGAGGCCTTTTACACCCCTCTGTTGACTGTCACAGAGATCATAGTGTTGGCCGCAAGGGACAAAGCTAGCCGCCCTTCTCTGGTCGACCTGGAAAGATCTGCCCATGTGGAGCCCGGTCCAAACATTCACAAAGGGGGAGCATTGTTGTGAGGGGAAGCTTATGTGACAAATTTGAGGGACTTGCCTCTTCCCCTGTCTTAGAAAAAAATAAATGGATCCTCCTTTAGGTGGATTTTGATGTAGGAAGCAGAGGTGAAGGTTGGTACATGCTGAAACGAAAAGTTTTTACTGATTGATCATTAAAAGTATTAGTATTTTGATTCTTCGTCGGTGCCTTGCTACCCTTCGAAGTTAGTATACGTCAGCTGGTCATCTATCTACAAAGTGGCCTTTTTAGAACACAACTTACGAAGACTGTGTCGAACGACAAATAAATACCATTTAATGGTCTGTAAATTTTCTTATCTTAAGTCAACCATCCTTCTCCAGAAGCGTCAAGTATTATTGAAGATCAAACGGAAGCTATCAGAGGCCAATGAAAATGTGAAGGTACTAATATAGTCGGAGTTGTTATCTCCTACCTAAGAGGATAACCAAGCAATGAAGGATAAGATGACAATGATAAAGAAGTCTGATGAGTTTTTTTTTTTTGCCAAGCTCTCTTTCCATCATACTTAAGGTGGCTCTCCTTCTTGGGAAGTTCAAGGATGAGGTTGGCTTCGACGTCAGCCACATGGTGAAGGCAAGTTGGTCTCCCAAATATAGACTGACATGGAAAAGTTTGTCATGTTATTTTCATATTCAGAGGAAGAGGGTACTGAGGACGCCTGTGGGTCATCAAATGCATGACCCGTTCTTGGCTTCTTTTGTAACTCAGAAAAAATTTTCTTTTTCTTTTGAATACTCGTAAAAAGAAAATTTTGCAAACTTTTTCAATTATGAATTTGCTAATGTCCACCTTGTTGTATTCTTCATGGGGTAACTAGCTAGACCTATTATTAGGGTGATTCGTACGCTACCCACCATGGATGTTGTCGCTAATGGGTAGTGAATCTCACCACTAGAGCATGATCTGATTTGAGCTATGAGACATGTTTTTCAATGAGATTGGCTTTGATGTCAGTATATTGATTTG